AGAGAGATCCCAGAGAAAACAAAAGTGGACTCTGACAAGAGTATGATTTCTCTCGATAAACAAAAATTATGAACCAATTTCTATCTCAATGAATCTATTGATATAGCCGCGAGGAGATTGTATGGCAGGCCATTACTCATATATTTTTCAACACCTCAATTACTGTTTAAGAGTGCATCAAGACAATAAAGTGTAATGAAAATTAGTTCAGGTTTCAGATTAGTTGCTTAAGTAGTTTTTAGTAGAGTCAATTGAGCAATTGATTAAAACGCGATCTGCAACTTTAATACTGGAATGAAACATCACATTAAGTTTTAGCATATAAATAAAAACGTTTAGAAAAACTATGAAAAAAAATGTCTTCATTTGATTGCGTGTAAAGTTTACCTTGAATAGAGCGGTATGTGTATGCACAGAAAAACCGTCAAGCAATGGGTGCTTCCCATGAGAGGTAATTTTAGTCATTTTGTGCATTACTGGAAAAGTAACAAGCTTACGTAGTTAAAAGAGGATCATAATGGGTTCTGCCCTGGTTGATGGAAAAAGGTTACAAAAAGAACTGGGTGGGGGGAGAGGCAGTAGCATGTGAAGCCTGCTTGACTTACTATCACTTAAGTTGCGCCAACATATCAGAGCCCCGATACGCAAAAACTGCTGAAACAGTCTGGTATTGCAGGTTATGCTTGAAACAACAGGAAATGGATTGTTCTGAGACGGGTGTTAGAGTTTTTCCCAGATATCTGGAAGAAATTATTAGAACTGTGAGTGGGTGAACCTGTGATTGTCCTCGATGCTGCTCTTATGTAGCATCCAAAATGCTATTCAATTTAGAAGAATCAGATCGGAACATTAATTGATCTTCTCTGGTTTTAAATAAAATTGTCAATTCACAAAAAGAGATCACATGTGGGTGGTATCGGAAAACTTTTGATACCGGATGAAATTTTAGGGACTATCCAAAGGGCTTATAGAAGTACTTCAAAAATGGAAATAAAAACAAACAGGAAACATTGAACTGAAAATCAAAATCCGAAAGAATCGTCGGATAGGATACTATCCTAAACTCTTAATTAGAAAAGTTAAGATAAGAAAAAGTACGTAGTTCCGGAATCAAACAAAGGAAACGAGAAATGGTCGAAAGATTCAACCCCTAATTTGACATAATTATTTGCTGCAAAATTACGCCAAATTTCAGGGGCATCCCTAATTTTCAACACCAGAAAACTAGAAACCTGCTTGCCGTATATCAAAATTTTCATTGCATGTAAGCTGAAAACCAAAGTGAGCTATAAACTAACGTGTAGTGGATGTATCTCCACCTATGTCGGTCTAATAGTGCCGCTTTTAGCCACGAGGATTGATGAGCATCTCAAATAGAACTCCCCAGTAGGACAACATTTGTAAGAATGTGGTATAAAGCTTCGTAGAAATATTGAGTTGAAGTAGAAGTTTATAGACAAACTGGCCGCACCCAAAAACTACTCACACCAGAGGTTTTGCATATGTGAAGCGAAAGGTCAGAAAAAATAGCACGCGCGAAAACTTCAGGAGCCAGGAACTAACACTAACAATTTTTAAATTGAAAAAAATGAACAAACTTTTCAAAAAAAAAGTACTTTTCAAACGTTTTTCCCACAGTTTGCAACATCTACGGTGTTAAAAAAAATAAGCAAACTTACGCGACGATAAAATTTCAGTTTACAAATTTAGTTTACGGTATTTCAAACAAAATTTTGGTCCAAATCATTTTATTAGAAAATTAGTCAATCACAGTTGACCTCCAAAGCTATTCAAATAGGTATAATTGCGCTTAACATCTACAACTAATTACAAGATTTTTAATGAATTATCAGGGAAGTTTCAAGGTCAAACTTTCGATTAAGATCTGTTTGTGTCTGAAATATGTTAGTGCGACTAATTTTTTAAAGTCCTTGAAAATTTAGACCCTGAAAAACTAGTCTCAGAACATTTTAAGAATTGATTTCAAAAACTTACATGTATAAATTGAAAATTTGGATCAGAAAGTTCCATAAAGTTATCCGATGTGTGATCGAGATAGTCTGGTATCGTAAAAACTGCTACGGTGCCAAGCACAAAAAGATGGATACGCCACAGCTAAAATTGCTACTCAGGTATAAGGATGTCATTGTTAGAACAGTCAAAGCTGAGCCAACTCGTGTTTTTGATGCCACAAACTCTCTTCATCCAAACGTACTATTTACTCTAAAAGAAGCAAGTACAAAATTGTCGTTCCTGGCTTTGAACATAAATGCATCTCAAGATAAGAGGGTAACCTGCAATTGTTATCAAAAACCAACAGACTCTAGCACTATATTCAACTATATGAGCTGCGCCCCAATGCAGTAAAAGCGTAGTGTTAACTAAGGTACTTAAATAGAGCTATAAGAAGTACAACTGTCTTGGAGCAATTGGATACGGCTATGCAGCTCCCTAAAAGTTGGCTAAAGTAAAAAAAAACTTCAGTTTTTGATTTTAATGTTTTTTGAAAATTTTTCCCTCGATTATACCAATTTCGTTTATTTTAATTCAGTTTTCAGTTTTGTTTAGCTATTTTATGTTTAGACTACAATTTGGGTCCACTCTTGCGGCCAAAAATGCAAGACTTCAAGTAATGCCAAAATTGTGCGTTTCAAGAAAAAGTTGAAAGCCAGAAATAAGTGAAGGGGCTAATTGTTTTTATTGGTATGCTATTGCTTGTCATAATGATCTTCGATCTTTCTATGATCATTGCAAACCATTGATTTTTTTGCTATTTTTTCCTCTAAAGGTTTCAGAAAAAATAATTGTCACTGTTTCAAATTTTTTTGAAGGCCACAAACTTGTTTTTTGAAACTTGTTTTTTTTGCGTTCTCAATTTGTTAAGTTCGCACAAAAAGATTGAGGTGTGTAATTTTACAATGAAAAGAAAATTGAAGTGTTTTTCAACCAATCAAAACCGATCAAAGTTCAAAAACTTGACTTTCCGAAGTACGTAATTCAAAAAAAATGACTTTTCCGAGAATCTTAGCTCGTTGCTCAAAACAATTGAACAAAGCCGCTTATGCAGAGAAAACTTAACCAACCGACCTGTGACTTCGATTGAGCCCAAAACTCAGGTTTGGGAAGTTGTTTTTCGAGAAGTTGTTTTTTAAGCAGGGGCACAACAGCGGTTCGCCGTGATGAGCTGTACAGCTCGTATGTTGGTCCTATCCCTCGTGGATAAATGATCTTAAATCTAAATCTTAAAAAAGTCTCGAAACGCTCAAAAAATAAAGAAATTTGTTTATCCCGAGAGCCATTCTCTTAAGTTTGAAAAAGTTTGAGCGTCGTCGCCTATAGTTTGAGCTTTTCAAGTCCATTCTGTTCTCTGAAAAAAAGCTTAGATTGGTTGGTTAGTTTTTGAGAAAAATAGAAAAAATCAAAAAGAAAATTTCCCGTAGAGAAAAAATATTTGTCCCCTCTTCAATTTTTTGAAAATCTCACATGATAAGCGAAACTCATTTTTTGCGTTCTCAGTTTGTCAAGTTTGCACAAAAAGGTCCTTGCACTCGTTTTATTTACGATAATAAGTTTTTAAAAGATTTTTTATCACATTTAAGCACTACACAAATAGCTCAAAATTAAATTGTTAATTTGAAAAATTGAGTGTGTCTGTTCCACGTTGAAAGAGCTTTTTCAGCGGTGCGCAAAGTGTTCTCAAAGTTATCCTGAAGTTATCCAGTGGTGCGCAAAGGTATCCTGAAGTCTGAATTGATGCACCGTGAGTTTGCTTTTCAAATTATTGGTCCAAGAGCCGCCTTATGAATTATCAGTTGGCATACCAAAATCTGGATTTTTTTTTGGATATTTGTGGATCGGTAATGTTCGATGTTACGTTTTTGCGTTAAAATTTTTACTTGCCAGCGTGAAAAAACAATTTTTATAATGTTTTAGTGGTGTCTCTTTAACCAGAGTCAGTACATGTTTTCATGCGCAACCAATTTTTAACGTTCTTTTGTTTTGTTTTCGTTTTTGTGAAGTTTAGGAATGTTTTTTGCTCGAAAAAATCTTTCAGCAGAGATATTATTTTTTTTAACTCTAAAAGGCATCCTATGGGCTCTTTAAACTTCGTGGTACTCGTTTCTTTCTTGTTTTTATTTTCATTTTCCTTTCTTAAACCCCCGCAGCCCATCGACTGCAGGGCCATCATAAAAATCAGTAGGTTTGAATAGCATGTTGAAAATCCCGTCAAAGTTTCGCTTAAACTTGACCGTATTCTAGGTATGTTTCGACCACACTCGAGGTAAATTTCGACCATGCTCAGAGTTTAATTCGAAATTGTGCTCGACCCAAACTCCTGTCTCGACTAGTCTTTTCCGATCCAGCACTGGCATGTGATCAAAGTTGAAAGTCGAAACAAAAAATTAGCCTCGACCTAGGTAGCTTTCTAATTGACAACTAGTCTGGGATCCCGTTAGCTCTGTCGTTCATAATAAAAAAAAATCAGCCTCTAAAAAGGACTTTTTAAACGAAAAAGCATGATTGAATTTTTCTCCTAGTAACACATCTCCTCATTTGCAAAAAGATGTGGAATTAGATCAATCTAGATTCCAGTTTTGTACGCTTACAAACTGATCGAAATCTACAACAAAAAAAACAAAAAAAAGAAATTTTCATAAAACCACAGAGAAACAAAATGATTTTCATTTTTCTTTTCATCAAGAATACTAGCCTGCTAAAGCATACCTCGTTTTAACTTTTAAGCTGTTGCATCAAAAAAGAAAACAAGTGTTTTTCGAAGTATTTTTTTTCAAAGACAATTTACAGGACAAAATGTTGTGTAGTAAATAAGCCGCAATGTGATTACGTGATTGGTCAAAAAAATATAGAAGAAAAATAGATGCGAGATCTGAAAAATTTCTATGAATATCAAAACGAATTCAATTTTTGACCAGTAAAAACCAGCTTGGAACGTTTTTGCAAGGACAATCTGTGAAAAATAGAATTTTTTCATCTTTCTAAAGTGGAAATTTTAGTTCCAAGATCATTCTACTGATTTAAAAAACACATACAAATTGAGAACGTTTCTGTATTTTAATGAATTAGATTACTGTTTCAAGCACAAAACAAAAGATATATATTAACGAATTATGGCTACAGTTATTAAACACCACTTTTGAATCAACATCATTTCGAATTCCAATCAGAGAACTAATTATCATTTTCAAATAATAAATTGAAATTGAAATCTCAATTATGAAATTTAAACATTGTTACATGTCATATAATACTGGACTTAAAAAGTGAAATATAAATATAATTGGCCAATACAGTTTTTCAAACGCACTCGAGGTTTAGTGATTCAATGGGACAAAAATACGTACAACATGACAATAGTTTGAACAGTGCTAATGAATTTTTAAAAAAAATTGTGGAAACAACTTTCTCTTACTTTTAAGTCAGGGGCGGATTTAGGCACCCTTCCATCCTCGAGAAAATCCTAAATCCGCCCCTGATTTTAAACTTGCTTTCGTTAAATTTGAGGCATTATACTCTCAAGATTGTAAGCTCTTCTATCAAAAATGATTTGGAACAGAAACAAAAAATAAACTGAAAAAGTGGGACAATTAGCGCTCAGTGGTTTTGATTTTGAATGCTTATGGTGTAATTTGGGTTCCAGTGCTAAGATGATTTGAATTAATTGATCTATATGTTTTTTTTCAAACATCTAGGCTTGGAATTATGCCTGTTTGGGAACCGAAGGTCTGGACTCGGGCGCTGGAAGCGGGCGGGGGTAGGGGCGGCTGCGGGTTGGGGGCAGTGTGAGTGTATGGAGCGGGTGTGGATGCAACGCGTTTACTTTTCTTCTACTTCTTGCAGCGTATGCCACTGTGCAATCGGTCGTCTCGGTGCATTAATCATATCGGTCCAGTGCCTTAATCCAGCTCCCGATGCTCCATAGCCGACATCTATACCTCCAATGGCATCATTTGATCCCAGTTTATCGTAGTCGAACACTGTGATTTTTAGATCCGTTTTGGTTATTTGTTCGAATGGCACTTCAAAGAGAAAACTCTCGTTGAAATAAGGGTTCAGGGTTCGTTTCTTAATCGTAGTCTTCTTCTTTTTGACTCTTTTCCCGTTTTGCATGAGTTCTATCTTGACGAAGGGATCCGAAAGTCCTCCAACGTCCATCTTTTTCAAGTTCTTGGCCTCCAGGACGTTGACAGTGAGTTTGCCCGCTTTGGGCACGAATCGCAACGAGAAGCAAAGATCTCCGAGGTACTCCTTCAAACATAAAAACTCCCAATTAAAAATTTCGGATCTCTTTAACTATCCACCTTTTTCAAAAGGGGGATCCGTTATAAGGTACAAAACTCACATATGCTTAACCGTTGAAATAATTCATTATAGGGGTGGCAAATCGTTACTAAGCACCAAAAGGGGGAAAAGGTGGAAAAGGTATTTAAGTTACAAACGTTTTTTTTATGTTGGCAATTTTGCATAAATAACATATTTTAATCAATCAAACATCATTGGAAGGGTTTCATACTTTTTTGCTTCTTTTGTTAACGTCTTCGAGTTTCGTTGAAGGTCTTTAAGTTCATTTTCTGTCATCATGCGCATCATTTGTTTTATGCGGTCTTTTCACGTATTTTGATGAGTTCATAATTATCTTTGATCAGATGCTATACTAGAGAATTAATTTGAAAAACAAATGATCTACTTGAAAAAAAATTGCACGCAAAAGCTAAACGCACATAGTTTTTCTGCCGAATCCGCATGAAATTTCAAAGTTTTACGGATGTTTTCTTTAAAAATGACATTCTGTTCATTTAATTAAATTTATCAGGTCGAACTTTTCGCATTTTATTTTACCAGCGTCCTGAAGTCGTCATAAAAAATAATTAAAAAGGAGCACACCTTGTCATCATCAGGTGGCTGCAGTTCCTTCGTATCCTCAATAGTACTCCCAAGGTCAACAGAGTTCAATGGGATCTTGACATTGCCAATCATGTCGTGTTTAGAGAACCGGTCGAAATCGTAGACTGCCATCATCAGCGTCTGTCCTGCTATCTCTGCGAAGGGCACTTTGAAAGTGAATGTCTCATTGAAGATCGGATTTAGAGTCTTCCTGTGCACTTTAGTCTCAAACTTCTTCTTCTTGTCTGGCATCAGAAACACCTGAAACATATTTATCAGAGACATCTGAAAGACACTTATCAGAGCCGATTGAAAACTTAAGATTCTATGGGGATCTCCGAGGCAGTATTTACCTTACTAAAACTTTCCTATTTTGATTTCTTATTTTTTTTCCTGATGATAATTTATTTTTATTGTTATTATTATGATTATTTTTTAATTACATACGCTAGAGGACAAAAATGAAAACAAATATAGGTTTTTAATCTAAAAAAGCATATTTTCACGGATCAATTTGAAAGTTTCAGCAAAACTTTTTATCGACCAATAGCAAGCTGTCTTTTTTAACTCATCAATTTCTTGGTTTCGAGGACATAAAAAAGAGGCATATATAAAAGAGGCATATAAAGGAGGCATATAATTCAAAAAGAAAATAATGTTTTTCTGGTTTGAAAATGACAGTATTTACAATCTGCTTTAAATATTATCAGCTGCCTCAAAAGTTTCAGTACCTTTTGCACTGATGATCACAAAAGGGCAGCAAAAGAACTGATCCAATAAATAGTTCGAACAATTACTGGTCCAATCCATGCAAAAGATTCTCCATAGCAGTTATGCTGTCTGTAAACTTTGATCAATTTTCTGGTGTATGCTCCCGATAACTTTTAATTTACATGTCGTCAACAACAGATATGATCGTTTTCCGATATCGGGCCAAGTAACTCCTTCAATTCTGCTATCTGTCGTTTTTTGTTATAAAAAGACCTAAGTCAAGATCATCAGCGTTCCAAAAAACTGATTTGAGCCTACAAATTCAAAATCCTTATATTGTTTGCTTTTAGAACTAATGATGATAAAGTGGCTAATTTACGCCATCATAACAGATTTCTCAAACTTTGGTTTGGTTATGTCCTTCCAAATAGTTTTATCTAGCATTTGACAGAAATTAGTCATTGTATTCTAAATATTTGCACAGAAAACGACAAAACAAAGAAAAAAATTGTTGATTTGCTTGTTGAAATAAAAAAATTGCAAATTCTATGTCCCGTGACTGTACCACAAATCAGTCGCTGTCGGTCGGGATTTTTACTCAAATATTGAGTGAAAATTGTTCAAAATTGTAATTAAAATTAGACGTTTCAAAGAATACAAATATCAATTTGCATTTGTTGTTGCACACAGGGGATTGGCAACAACTCACTATGATTAAATTATCTTCACTGAAAAAAATCTTCACTTATCTTCACTCTCGACGTGAAAAAAAAGTTTAACAATTGTAGCTTGTATTTACTATTATATAATATCAAGGATAGCCGGTGGCTGTGCAAGTTTACATGACAAACCGACCGCAATAGTAAAAACACTGAAAAGCGTTTCTTTTAGTAAACATTGTTGTGTTTTGTTTGTCGGGTGATTAAAAGATCTGAGCGAAAGCCTAGAAATTAGACAGATTCGATGATATCAGTAAATAAAATATAATTGACAATTTTTTCGAAAAACGAATTTCTTTTACTTTTACAATATATTTTTTGTCCAACGACAGCCGATTGCCGTTCAAGTAGCTCAATACGTTCGGACCGCAACAGTACGAAACGCTAAATAATTTCTTTTTAAAAAAAAACAATAATATATTTGTTTGCTGTGTGATGAGAAGATCCGGGCAAACGCCTAGAATTTAGGCACATCGATTGTATCAGTACATAAAGAATAAAGTAATTGACATGTTTTTTTTTTTGAAAATTGAATTTAAGAAATCAAAAAAAGTTTCCGAAAATGATTTTTCATAACTTTTGCAAAAGTTTTTTGATCCAAAAAGTTCGCATGAAGACTCAGAAAGCTGAAAAAGCTTATGCATGATATATCACTCGGCCTATTTCAAAGATTCTTAATTAGAAAGCAGAAATGGGCATGCATACGTAACTTTTTGGCCTTTTTTCTAATCAAGTTATTGATTAAAAAAACAATTTCCATTAAGAAAACTTATTTTTTTCTTTATTCTTCTTCTTTATATTTTTACACAGTTTTCAAATCTAAAGCCACTTTTCTAAAACTTCAAAACATTTGTTGTTGGGCGAGCTGAAAGTTCACAAAGACAAAAATTCGAAATTTTCAAAAAAAGTTCACCGAACAAAAACCTGCCGAAAGTTAGCCGGGGTCGGTCAAGAATTATAAAACGGGAGGCTTTAGTTCTGGCGGGGGAAGGGGGTGGCTTGACAAAGTAGCAAACTAAAATTTTCGAGGGAAAAGTAGCAAACTAAGATTTTTGAGGGAAAAGTAGCAAACTAAGATTTTTGAGGGAAAAGTAGCAAACGTTTGGGGACAAGAGGGCTTAAGGGCAAACGTTGGGCGGAGTTGAGGGGAATGAATTGTTATGCAGTTTGAGAAAGTTTAGGTGTAGAAATTTAGCAGGCACTACACACGTTCTGTAAAAAACTTTGCAATGGTTTTTTGAGAATTATGTATTTGAAATTATGGGGAGGGCAAAAAACAGGGCGCCGTAAACAGGGTGGAGAGGTTATAAACTCGGGGGCTAAAACTGGTGGGGGGAGTAAACGTGGGGGAGGAGGAGATCCACAATAAAGAGTGACATCCACATTATCTTTCCCCAGTTTTTAACTTTGGGAGGGAGATTAAACAGAACTCACACATTTAAAGATATAGAGTAGATATTCTTGCAAAATTTCTCTAAAATATTTGCAAAAATAACATATTTTGGAGTTTAAAAAATTGGATTATAATCAATTATAACGGATTTTTGTTTCAAAAATGATCGATAAGAATGGATTATCTCGACAAAAACAGTCGATATCAGTGCCAAAATAATGGTTTATAATGGATTATAATGGATTATAATGGATTATAATGTTTTTTTTTTCAAAGTTAATCGATTATAATGGCAATGTAATCGAATTTGTGCTCTGATTTTTACGTCTATAATGACTTGTAATGGATGGTTTTGTATCGAAAATCAATTATAAATAATTAAAGTCCATGGGCGCTCGGTTCTCGTAGTGTTCCTGTGAAAATACCGGATAGAGCATTGCGCTTCAATTTTAATTGGATTATTTTTTCGATTCAGACACCGGCATGTCCTTGGCGTGGGATGGGTTGGCGAGGATTTTTTAACTCAATAAGCTTTAAACGTTCCAGTTTGTGTTTATGAAACAGGATTTTCAAAGCTGAAAAAAAGCTAGTCACACAATTTCACCCAATGAAAAAGTCGTTATCAGACAATTTTCTAGACGTGTGTGAAGAAATTTCACGGTTCAAATAGTGTGACTAGCAATTAAGGTCGACCCGTGTAATCCTTGTATATATTTTTTTGTTTCCCTTTTATTCCTTGAGTTACTGACCTTGACGTATGGGTCGGATGTTCCGCTCATATCCATTCCGACCAGATCACTGGCTGAGATGATTCCCACTGTTAGTTCCCCCTTCTGGAACTCATAGTCTATAGAGTAGCTCAGCCTTCCCAGGTACTGCTTTTCTTCCGCTTTCCCCTCCTAAATTTAGTTCAATAGTTTCAACTACAGTTCAGCAAATTTTCCAGTAAAAAATCCGTTTTTGGCTGCTTGAAAAAATTGCGTTTTAAAAAATTGACGATTAAATTGCGTTTTTTTTTTTTCGGCGGGCGTCCCCTTTCTTTCCCTAAACCCGCCTCTGATATGATATCGTATTAATGGTTTTAAAAGTGTGTGTTCACAAGCACCAGAGGAAAAATATTCCGGGATTTGACCCCTCCCGACTCAAAGTTTTCCAAAAAGTGCCCAAAAAGTTTTTTTGGCCTTTTTTTCAAAAATTTGCTGGCGGCGCTGAAAATTTCAACAAAAAAAATGGGATCTTTAGAGTGATTTGGGAGAGCTCAGAAAATCAGTTTGGTCAACCTAAAAAAAAAGGTCGCCAACCAAATATGATTGAAGTTGCGTAATTACCCACGCTAAGTTTATCGCTGAGTACAGAAATCTATCTTTCGTTTTAAACCTAACAAGAAATTTTTAAAGACATTTAGCCTGAATTTCATTTCAAAATTTGTTCACTTGTTGACGAGGATATGTTTTATGTTTGACTTACTCAGCCAGAAGATAATTTTGCACAACAACTTTAGAGGGAGAGGAGCTGAATAAGCCAAATACTTAAATTACTTCAGTTTGATTACAGTTTTAACGACTACCAATTTATACCTTTAATTGTTTCAACCTGGCAAAACTTGACTTCTTCTTCGATATTCGGAAAATTGGGAAAATGAAGAAAGTGAAAATAAATTAACCGCACCTCCTCCTCTTCTTCCTCCTCCTCCTTGCCCTCCTCCTCGTCGTGTTTGCTGTCGTCTTTTCCTCCGAAGTCCCCCGCCTTCCCCAGCAGTCCCTTCTTCTCCCCCTTCTTACCCTTCTTCCCCTTCCTCTTGCAGAGGAACTTGGTGCACACCAAGTACATGCCAACTAGCAGCACCAGGCCGACCACTGCAAAATAAATACTACAGGTAGAACTTTAACAGTTCAGAAGGTTGCTGTGCATTTAGGACACCGTTTTTTTTTATTCACAGCTATATATTGACAAAAAGCTCAAAAACACAAAAAAGTTTTTTTTTCCAATTTTTTTTCTATTTGACTGTTCAAGTTGGCAAAAAGAGTTTCTTAATCGACGAATGGGTTACTTAAACAGAAGAAACTGAAAAAAAGCTTGCATAGTCAAGAGAAACTGACAAAGAGATTACATAACCGGGAGAAAATAGATATGATTTAATAGACTACATTCAATATTCCGTATTTAGTGGTTAGAAGCTGAAATTGATTGACTCCTGATGATGTTGACAATTTTTTATGATTGTCAGCACTCAAAGTTACAAAAACATAAAATGAGAACAATTGACAATTTAAACTGCTTTTCTCCCGCTAAAAAGTTCAAAAAATAGTGCCAAGTTCAACTGGCCACGGAAAGATAAACCTGCTAAACCTCGGGCGAATCCGCGCGAAGACTTATTGATTTACGTGAGTTTGCTTAATTGAACAATTGATGGAGACTTTCTAGCCTGAGGAACTCGTGAGATCAATTATGAGGGATCAATTATGAGGGAAAAATCAGACATACCTAAGAATATGGCAACGACTGCAGCTCCTGGCAACCCTGTCTCCTTTTCTGTCAATTTCACACTTCCGCTTCCTAATTCCTCTAAACCCTTGCCAACATGCTCCCCCACATCTAGAATCTTAGAGGACGTAGACTCTTTCGTGCTACCACTACTCTCCGGCTTTGGTTCTCCACCCTCTGACCCTGAAATAATTTAACTTCAAGGTATCATAAAAAAGAGTCTAATTTTTCAAAAGAAAAAATTTTGAATGAAAGACTGTTTTTACAGAATCTTAAATAAATCGTGGAAGGATTTCAATCTTCCATAAGAAATGTATAAAAATGTGACACCTCTCTTAAAAGCTTGTAAAAAAACTTCTATGGCACTACTGAAAAAACTAATAGGCTCTGGATCAACCTTCTGCTGAGGGTTTCCCGCTAGTTCCGGAGTCTTCCGAAGAACTGCCGCCATCTGAGGGCTTCCCTGGAGGTTCTTGATTCATCTTGTTTTCCTCGCCGCTCTCTTTAGAGTCAGATGGGGTGACATCGGCTGGCGGTTCCTCCTTAAGCGCCGAGTCCTCTTTAGTCTCCTTGCTTTCGGCCGCTCTTCGCTTCATTGTGAAATATTTTTCGACAATTCTGAAGTGCCTGGTAAAAAATCTACTAAGTAACTCATCTGCTTTCTTTACGTTTGTACTTATCTGAATGACTAATGACTACTTGAGATTCATGGCTGAAATTTTGACATATGATGGTTGAGAGTATTTGAAAGGTTACAGCAAAGCCAAAAACCGAAAAAAAAAACATGTTTTTAGTTCGTTGTTTGGCCATTCAAACGAAGCTCCTTAAAGAGGTGTTCTGGGTGCCGAGGAAACGCTGCAAACACCACAAAAAGCTTGAGAAACGCTGCAAACACCACAATGAGCTTGGACTCAAAGCTGTGTTTGGGAAAACTGAGGGACTAAACTGAGCCTTATTTTAAGTTTCTTCTTCAACATTAAAAAATGCTCAGCAAAATTTGACTGAAAGTCTGCTTTGATTTGTATCTGAGAACGTTTTTCAAATTTTTTTTTATGTCAAAGAACTTAATTGAGGGCCTAAGCTATGATTCTTAGCTTCCAATTAACCTTTTCGATTCAACCAATTCAATCTTCTTGCGTTGTTTACAGCGGTTGCTCGGCACCCAAAAATTTATCTGACGGGCTTCCTTTGATCATTTGAATTGCCAAAAACGCATTGAAACAACAATTCCATTTTTGTTTTTATTGAATCCTTTTAAATACTCTCAACATCATCTGCCAAAAACTCAGCTTTTAACATCAAATAATTACAGAGAAAACAAAAAGATGTGACAAAAAGATTTTTACTTGTATTGCTTGAATTCTAAAAGGTGCAAATTTTCTGTCCCTGATTACACAACATCCAGGGCGGAGAAACAAGTATGAATTTTCTAGAGTGAAATTTATGCCCCAATGAAAACATACCCGCACTGACAAAAAGGGATTAGGGTCGATTTTAGTATAAAAAAAAGTATGAAAATTTATTTGAGATCAATTTTAGTATGAAAAAACTAGGACCATTAAATATGAAGGGTCAAGATTATTTAAAATAGTTTTGAATCGATTTAAATCGATCTTAAATCACAGCTAAAAATTGATCAAAATCGATTTCAAATCGACTTAAAGTCAATTTTTCAGTTTTAACCTATTAATGTTTTTAAGGGGATGAAAACTGATGTAAGTCGATTTTGGTCAGTTTTTTCATTCGAACTTCATTCATCACTTTTGAGTTTTTGTTGCATTACCGTACTGGCAAAAATTGGAAAAATGGTTTGCAATCGATTTTAAATTTTAAGTAGCATTTTTTTTCCGTACTAGTAAAAAAAAATCTATTTAAAAAATCGATTTGAAATGGAATTCTGAGACACTTGAATCGATCTTAGGGGTCTTTTAAAATTAAAACTAAGAGTCTTTTGAAATGAGTTTAAATGGATTTTAATAGGATTCGGATGGATTTACATGAGATTCGGATGGCTTTTTTGTTAGTCAGAAACTCCATCCAAATCGATTTATATCGATTTTGCTGGCATTTAAAATCAACCAAAATTTTCAAGAAAGATCAATTTAAACCGATTTAAAATCCCTTTCAGTTCTTAAAATGTATATTGTTAATCGATTTGGATCGATTTAAAAAATCAATTTGAAACAATTTAAATTGACTCGAAACCATTTTTGTCAGTGCGGGTTTGAAAATCAAAGGTGCAACATGTGAAGAACCTATGTTAGAGTTCGATCCGTGACATGAAAATCAGAAAAATCTGCGTCAAAACAAAACGGTTAGAGTTTCTGCAAAACTGAATGCTGAACAGCGGTTTTTCTTTGAAACTGACAAAAACTGACCTGGGAGTATAAAGTGCTTCTATTTAAAATTACTAAATGAAAACGTCCTTTTCTACCAATTGACAAATTTGTCGTAAGAACCAATTCACTTTTAAAAGTTTTTTTTTCAATCAATTGTATTTATTTGAGTGAGTAGGAAAGTTATAATTGTACAATGAGGTTTTTAGTCTTAGAAAAATGGATAGTTGCGTTGCGACTGTCTTCTCTTGAAAACATTGTAAGTTTTGGTAAGGCGCTGGGAGTTCAAATTTTTGAATTTCAATTTCGTTTTTTTTCCTCAAGGTTCTGCTAAAAAAGTTGATTGTGATCAAATCAAGTCACTTATCACTACATTTTTCCAATTTTGTTCCAATTTTGTGTCAGTGAAACGAGCAAATAGAGCAAAAATCTGTCAACCAAGCTTCCAAAACACATCCTTCTGAATCTTTATTTAGTCCTTCACCGGCTCTGCAACTTGAAAAATCCTAAAAAACGAATGTGAAAAAATTTGAAGAAATAATTTAGTGTTTATATATATATATATATATATATATATATATATATATATATATATATATATATATATATCTTTTTTGTATCTAATTTTTTGATCTTACAGAGAACCATCGAGTTAAAAGGGTTTTTCGGTATTATTAGGGTGTAGATACTCATTATTCGATGACGTGGTGTTGAGTATCTCCACTCTCTGCAAAACTTAGACCAGAGGCAGATTTAGGGTGTTTCAGGGATTCGACCCCCACCAACCAAAGTTCCATCCTTGTGTTAATATTATGACATCTGTTTCAGTCCAACACACCCATTTTTTTTCTAAAGGCGCCTTAAGCTCTATTATGATTTAATTTTGAAAGGGAGTGCGCTCCAAACAACGCATTTGTTTGGTTAAAATTTCCCAGAAAATGCCCCAGAACGGCAATTATGACTTTTTTCAAAATTTTGATGCAGCGCAAAATGTTTGGTCCAAATAGGGTCTTATACTGTTTTGGGAGTAAAATATATATCCAAAAAAATAAAAATCTACCATCTTCCCCCTCGAGAAAATCCTAGATCCACTACTGACTAAGACAACGATGAATCATGACAATTATTTAACCAAAGGCCGACTTAAAGTTTTGTTACGCATCATTTTTGAGAGCATTGTTTTTTCCGTTAAAAATATGAGATAGTGAACAGTCCCGAAGAATAATTTTTCTTTTTTGCCAGCTACTTTACGGCATGGCAAAAAAGTTGGTACATTATGGCAAAATCAAAAAAAAACGTTTTTTCCACAACTAGGTTTTACTAACATATATCAGATTTTTTTAAAGATAATTAGAATTGAAAGAAATTTCAATTGCATTGAAAGTTGAATAATTTAGTTTTTTTTTCGACCATGGGTAGTGAATGAAAGTTGTATTTGTGTTGATTTTAGCCTCTTGTTTTTTGAACTCAAACTTAGATACGCAATCAAAAAAGAGATAAACTTGGTACAAATTTTATTTTAAAGTATTTTATTTGGCTGTCAATGGATACATAGAAACGTCCTTAAATTTTTCTGATTAATAAAAAAATTGGTTTGCAACTTTGAAAAGGAAGTTCAAAGTCAACGTTTCTTTTTTCATCAGAAAACTTAAGAAGGGTTTTAGTTTTCTTAGTTGAAACTATTTTAATAGAATTTTTTAATAAACGTTCTTAGCTCTGAATTAAATCCGTTGCCTTGCGTCTAGCAAAAGAAACAAAAGAAATTCAAAAACGTAGATAACATACAGTTGGAAAAAAATCAAGGAAAGCAAGTGAACAAAAAAAATTGTTTTTTGACTTTTTATTTAGAAAAAAGTAGATTTTCCTGTTTCTAGAAGAAATTATGATTTTTTTTGCTAAAAATAACCCATTTTGAAAAAACTGGACCAATAGTAATTTCATGTTGCTGGAAAATCTGAAAATTATACTCCACTTTCGAAACTAGCTTTTGAGCACGTTTTCTGTGACCTAAACGTTTTTGTTATTCGATAGTGGATTTTGCCGTTCTTCTTTACACTAAAAATAATTGCTTTTCAAAAAAAATCAAAATTCAAATCGCGAAAAAATAATTTTGAGCTGGAACAAAATTAAAGACTTCCAAAAATACAAAAAAACGCACCGCAACCTATTTAAGAGTCTACACTACGTTTTTTGACTCTTAAAAATTGAAAAGCTGATTTGCTTTCTTTCTTTTAACAATTTGTTTTTGCAAACCTAGCAGCCGTCAGATCTTGCCATGTACAGCGACCAACTATTCATGTTTCTGAAAATTGTTTCGATTTTTTCTTAAATGCACCTGTGCTGTGAATAAACAAACCGCTTTTGATTAATTGAACAAAACAATGAGCTGTCGCAATACTGAAAAAATGTAGATTTAGACGTTTCCTTTCAACGTTACCTCCAATGCGAAAAAAAAACATGATTTCCAGGTTTACTACAAATTAATTCAATGATTCAGCGGTAGAATATGATAATTGTTCAAAGACAATTTGAAGTGTTTTTTCCACAAAAATTAAGTGGAGAAAAAAACTTTTCATGTTCCGCACATAGAGTTTCTTTTCATGATAATTCCGTCAATAAATTTTAAAAATTATTAGACAATTTTTTTTTAATTTTGATTTAATGCTAGCCTTAAGAAGTGAAATGGCGCTGAAATTAAAACCAAGTTTTAATTTTTTTTTCAAAACTGTCATTTTAGCTGTGCAAAATGGCTGCGCTTTTTCATATAGATGCCTAATTTGGAAAAAAAATCAAGGCCGCTAGTCAAACTATTTTTTTTTCAAGCATCATCTGTCGTGCAATTTTTAAGAGCAAAAAAAGTAAAACACTGGCTAAAAAGTGAACGCCAAACCTAAGAGCACTATTTTGAATTAATCTATCTTGAAATTCAGAATGATTTCAAAATTGTAAGTCGTTGTCCAATGAAAATATTTAATAATAAAAGAAAATAACAAGCTATTGTTTATTTTTTTTATAGCATTTTCTGGATCATGATTGCTTTTTGCATTGATTTCAAGCTGGACGCATACAGAAAAACTTCGAAAAATGTTTATATTATGTTATTGTGTGTAAGTAGCACAAGATTTTACCTCATACTGAAAACGAAGCAAAAAGGATAAGTTTTTCCTATAATCGTAAATATGAATCTGGTCTCTGCATTTGATTTAAAAAAATTCGAAAATATGTTCTTCAATTAAATGGCTACTTTTTTCAAACGTTAGATGACATAAAGTTTTAGTTATCTTTCAAGCATAACTTGTGTCCCCTTTTGGAGCTCCTCTGTGTATTAATTCAAGTGCTCATTTGTTAGGATGACCGCTTGTTAGGATTTTTTTCTTCGAATCTGTATTATTAACAAGCCAGTTATGAGCATCTGAGCCAAATTGTAACTTATTTTAAGGTGAAAAAACGCAGCGAAAACTTTGTAGAAAGGTTAGGTTCAAATTTTTGCAACTGTTGTCATACTTTTCTTAGAACTTTTTCACTCAGTTTTATGCAAAAACAGGTACTTACTGATTTTGTTTAAAGGCGAGCTAAATGAATCAAAGGCCCCTTACACACTAAATCATTTTTCTGTAACATGAACAAATTGCACAAAGACGCCCAGTTTAGCCTATTGTTTATTAAAAAAAGACTTGAGGCAATTGCATAAAAAATGGTTTGTTGATTCAACCAATAACCAACTGCTGAAATCAGGTTTTGCTGAAAACAAGCCTTAGGCATCAGGTAACCATTTATTCTTAGCTCATGCGTTTGAGTAAGACCAATTCATTAAAAAATTTTCCATGTAATATCAGATGATTGTAATATCAGTAATATCTTACTTAACAATATGAAGCAGTTTTGGTAAATTAATAAAGTTAGCTACCATCTGAATATTATTTCGTAGTGATTATTTTAGCTACCATCCAAATCAGGGTTGGATTTAAGGGAGGGGCAGACGACGCCCCTTTTCCTTTAGGGGTTCGACCCCCTCACCAACCAGAGGGTCCCCCCTTGGATATCCATTTTGAACGAACGAGCTAACAGTTTTTTAAAGGCGCCTTTGGTGCCAATATATACGAACTTTGAAGGGGAGCGCGCGCCGAAGAAAAGCAATTTTTGGTCAACATTTTCCAAAAAAACGCCCAAAAGCGGCCTTTTTGGCCTGTTTTTCAAAAATCTGCCTGCGTCGCAGGAAATGTGGGCAAAAAAGCGGAAATGTGGGCAAAAATGAGCTCAAAAATGCATTTGATCAACCTAAAAAAAGGTCGAAAACTTTTCGAAGATTTTTTTTAAAAAACCGCCCCCACGAGAACAACTTATATAGGCTCCTGATCTGAGCACTGCTCTGTTCTGATTAATTTAGCTACTATCTGAAACGTCGTATAACCTTCATACATACATGAGTTACAATAAGTTTGAGAGGTTTTATAATTTGTTTTATCATGACTTTGAAAGCACATTTTACCCAGAAATTTGTTTAGAAATAGTTTTATTGATTAATAATTGAAAAATTGATATAACTTTTTTCTACTGGATGTTATTGACATTGCGTAGCAACTAGAATTTTTTTGCAAAACCGCTTTTTTTGCAGGACCATTCATTGGAGTCGATTAAAAATTCATAAGGAAGCAATCTCAGTAGTGATTCGTAAAAAAAATGATATTAAATTAAAAAAGCTAAGAAAACGCCAAGAAAGAGCAATTAGCGAAGTTTTACACTACCAGTCCTGTAAAGTTTATCAGAATCAACCTCCATTCGAAAAATTTTCAGCAAATGGCGTGATTAACAGAAATTATTCCTCAGATGAGTGGTCTATTTTGTTCTATTTCATGAAAATAAATTCCACATTCTAAAAGTAGCTCTGAAACATTTGCAAAAAAGTCCAGCTTTATTTTAAAAAATTTAAAAATAAAACAGTTTTTTTTTAAATTTATGGTATCTATGGCCTAAATCATGGATTACAAAGATATGAATGGAGTTTATGGTCAACCTGATATGTTCTAATAGACATGCGATATTTACCTTTGTTCCTGTTTTGACTGGCTATCTCTTCCAGAGTATATTTCTAGCCGGCAGCAGTTGCAGTGTTAAATTTCCTCTTCTCCAGTTCGCTGGTCTCGAGGGTTTTCCTGATGGGGGTTCTCCTCAGATCCGGTTACAGTAGACGAGAGCCAGAGAGACCGCCGGATTAAGAGTGAATGAGGGGGAATGCGAATTAGATTACAGCCCAGCGTCACAAGCCAAAAAGAGAGGGGGGGGGGTGGTGGTCAGGTAGCTGAGATGAACAAACAGAGTCGAAATTAGAGTGAAATAAGAAAGATAGTAAGTAGCTAAGTAAGTATAAAAGAGCTAAGAGGTATAGAATTGCACAAGACGTTAATTTGTGGCGTGAAAAGAAAGCCTGCCCGTTTTTATTTCACTCTTTTTCGACCGCATTGGGACTCAAATTACCAAACAAGTTCTTAACTTATAAGAAGGGGAGTATACATCTATCTTTTTTTTTCCAGTTGTTTGTTTCCAATGCTAGTTGCAGTAGGGGCTAAAAGTTTGTTGGTAAACTAAGCCCGGGTTATTTATTTTATTCCAAAAGTTATAATGCCTTGTAGAGTTTGGATTAAGAGCAAAGTTTATATATAAGCTTTGGGTTGAACAGAGATGGTCTAAAAAGTTACTCTGGATAAGTCAAAATACTAAGGTTAGAAAAGCGGTTAAGGAAAAACTGAAATGATGGAAGGATTTGCGCTACGTGGTTGTTTGTTTATTTGTTTGTTTGTGAATGGAAAACAATAAAAAAGAAAAAATAACAAGTTAAGCTAACCGGGATTTCCTCTCTTTTCGCAGGGCAGAGTTGGAATTGGGCTAAGTTGAAAAATAAATGAGCCCGGGGGGTAATTTGAACAAAGAGCCAAAAGAGTTCTCTGAGCTGCTAGGAAAATTGAAAATGCGCTGGATACTAATAAAGAAGTAAGTTCTCCGACCAGTTTTCCAGTTTTTTTCTATTTTGCTCTATTTTTTTTTCTTGTTCAATCTAACCTTTCTTGATTTTTCTTATAAAAATCCAGCTTTCATCAGCGATTGACTGGAACGTAATATGAAATATATGAAGTGGTTCCTTCTTTTTTCTAAATTCACATCATCGCAAATTATATAGAGGAGATATTTATTTTTGGACACGCTTAGAAATTATTGTTTGTTGAGTATAGTAGCCGCTCGTGGAAAATGGGGATGATGATGGTTAAAACTGATCCCCTTGTTCTCTGTGTGCCAAAATATTCTCTACGGATGCGAGTTGAAGGAAGATTGAAGATTGATGACGCGCGAAAGGGAAAAGTAGAATTTGGTACACTGGTTGACGGGGACAGAAAACCAGTTGACATTACGACTGCGTGTTTCTGAAGAAGCATCGGAAAGCGCAAAAAAGAGAGATTATCCGAAACCATCTTAAAATAATAAAAAAAATAGCATTTATCGTCAAAAACTCTTTTGAGCACATCACGTGATCAAAAAAAGTTAACAGTTTGTAAGATAAAAAATTTAAAATACGCAGGTTACTATCTTAGTTAAGTTTATTGATAACTTAATCACTTCGCTGATTTTTTTTGTGGGAAAATTTTTCACCCAGATTTTAGATCCTTATCGTTGAACAAATCAAAACTGTGACATTCCCATCCAAAAACGATACACTTATTTACAATTGGTACTTTAAGCATACAACACGGAAAAGTTTATGGTTTATGCTTTATGAGACGTATGCTTAGTGATATGTCACCTAAAAGAAAGGTATTTCTTGACACAGGTGTATTCAATCAGAGATATAATCAGAATATAGTCGCCGAACATGCTTCACTTTCACTCAACCATGACAAGGAATTACGCAGAGAAAAAGACGCCATATCCTACGGGAAAAATCACAATATACATAACAACGTTATAAAAAACAACGCCAAACGGCAAAAAAGCAAAACATAATCCAGCTTTTTTTATTAAGACTAGTATGTATTCGCAGTACCAAAACGTAAAAACGTAAAACACAATCGTGATATATTCTTATACACGTATAAGTAGCTGTTTTTTCGCTTTATAATTTTTCTCGTTGGTTTTTCTTGTTTTTATCAAAGGAATAATTTTATTTTTTAACGCTTTGGTCCCCTTTTTTAACGTAAGAAATACTATAAGCTACTTATATTAGATTTTCCAGTTCGCTTTGGTTCAATCAATGGTACAGATCTTGTAATTTTATTCTTACCTTTGTATGAATAAATGACTGTTTTAGCACCAGTTTTCTTTTGATTTTTAATCAGCAGTGCAAAACCAACAATTACGTGATCAATTTCTCACAAAACGGAAAGTCAGGAAAACGAATTCAGGGAAATGAAGTTATAAAAATAAGTTACAAAGAAGTTATAATAAGAGATGGAATAGGAAATTAAAATTATTAACAGGCGAAAATGTAGAAAATGGACTTAACTTGAAAAGTGAGGGCGATTTCTTTTGAAAATTAAAACGAAGGGGTAAGGCGCAAAAGAAAAAATATGAATGGGCTAAAAAGACAGGTAGATTGATCTCTTTTTCTTTACCAGAATTTGTGGGCTCAACTGAATTTTGTGGGCTGATTTCAAATTTGACCCCAAATAAATACGTCACACCAAGGGTACTATGTTTGCTCTTTTTTCTAACTGTCTCATTTTAACTTCGGGCAGCTTTTCTTTAGTAGGATGCGACTTTTGGTCAATCTATTTGGAGATGGCAAATCAAAGAGACTCCTTTTCTATCAGACCAATTTTTTCTTTTTTTTTTGATACAAGGCTGGAAGCTATTTTGGACGCCTAAGCTATTACTTTGCGGCGTTTTAATTTCAAATATTACCCCGTCACCCATATGTAATCCTCTTTTTTCTACACGGTTACATGAGCTTGGTTGGAGGATTGTCTAATTTGGTATAAAGGTGGGAGGGGAGTGGCAAGCAAATTGAACATAGCGCGAAGAATTTCATACTATTTCGGAAAAAATGAAGTTTAATATCCTCAATGGTTTACAGCGTTCGCTATTTAGTGTCAGCTCTCTCTTTCTTATATTTAATTTTGTTCAGTGCATTTAAAAATAAAAATATTGAGATTTGAATGTTTTTCTTTGGCTTTTTTGTTTGAAAAATCCATTTGATTCCAGAAAAGATTAGGTTAGATTACTTTCAACTGCACTTTGGATCCTAAAAAAGGCTGAATCATTTTTCTTACTTGAAAAAAACCGCAATAAGTAACATGGATGGCCGGTTACTGTGCAAGTAGCACAGAATGTTCCAAACATTTTACTAAAAATTAGAAAGAAAATTTTTTTCATTGATTTTTTTTCAAACTATTCATTGAGTTTTTGTGGGTGGTGTGGTTGTAGAAAAATGACTGAAAAAGAAACAAAAAGAAAATTCAAAAAAAAGTTTCAAGAAACATTTTTTCAATTTTGTTTCGCAGAAGTTACTTTGAATTTTGGGTGTTTTTTATTCAACACAGAAATTGGTGGTTTTTATTTTTAAACAACTTCATAAAGTTAAACTAAAGTTCCATGGCTTATATTTCTATAAATCTTGCTCGCTTTTGCTCGAAATCAGACTAAAACTCGGAAAAAATCGGAAAGATTGAGAGGACCTTGTTAGAGGATCCCATACGAATTTTTTTTGTGGTAAATTGTTTTGATTGAACAACAACGTAAGCCTTCTCGCTCACCTTTTTTCGATCGAAGTTAGCCAAAAATATCAAAGTTTTTTTTCAGCAGAGAAAAATTTCCAAAACGTCGTAATGTTAATCGAATCAAGAGATTTATTATGATATATCACTCAACCGATTCCGCTGATTGTTTGTAGTACACCAGATTTTACGTTCAAAACAAAAAGAAAAACAAAAACACACGCAAATACTCAGTTCCTCCCCATTTTATAAATTGTCGGACCAAAAAAAAATCAATTAAATTACAATATGATTTGTAGTTTTTAAAACTAGATAATAAAAAAAGTTGAGAAATTGCCTATTTTTAAGTTTTAACAATTTATAATACATATTAACCGGTTTTGAGAAACAAAACTAAAACAATCAAAATCAATTGATTATAATTAATGTGGAAAATCGCAAAAAATCAATGATAGTTGATTACAACCTCGTATACTGATAATATGTTTTCAAACACAAAAATCTTATAATAAACTTGACGACAATCTCTGAAAGTCAGCTGAACAAAAAATTTTACCACGAATTAAAAGTTTCATATAGTTCCCTTCAAATTAGTTGAAAATTTCTCGCGGTAAAAGAAAACAACTAAGCCGATCTAATCATCAATATAAAACAAACAATAAAAAAAAATTTCATCGTGAAGAAAGCTTCATAGCTTAGAAACGAAGAAAAATCACATATTTAATTAAATTTTATATGTCTTTCACCGTGACTGCTTAAGTCTCATTTGTGGACAAAAATTTGTGATGTGATGTGCAAGATATTTTAAATTGCCTCCTAGATTGAGTTGCATGTTTTCTTGAATTACCCCTGTAAAATGTTCTGAAGATAAAATACAAGCTCAAATGACAACAATCATACTTCAACTTGAATCGCATGATACACTGCCCGATTTTTCATTTTGTTGATCAATCCCTATATTCATCGGTGTTTTTACCTTTTTAGTATAGAATTGAGTTATTTTGAGATCTGTTTTGTCAAAACATACCGAATTTTTGTCTAGCATGGTAGAAAAAATATACTTTCTGGTCGAGACAGTCAAAAAATTAAGTGAGCACCTAGACCCGAGGAAGAAAAAAATCGAGACGCAGACGTTACAATCGTTTCAAGTCTATTTTTGACGTTCACAGGGGCGGAGTTTGTTATCAAATTTTGATTGAAAAGCCTCTCGGGTTGAGGTGCTCACTTCATGTTTCGACTGTTTGGACAAAAATTTGAACCTTTTTGAACGTCTCGACCAAAATCGGGAATGTTTCAAATTTCTCGACCGATAAAAAACTATTCTCGACCGTGGGCAACCCAAGCAAGATATGTATGCTGAACCCATTTTGATTGTCTCGACCGAGAAAAAAATACGCTGGACCTTGCTCGACCAATGCCAGATATGTTTCGACCATATCGACCAAATTCGGGTATGTTTCGACTTTCAGTTAACTTGATTTATCCAAAACTAAACGTTACAATTTATGCTTTTCAGGTAAAATCTCAATATGATTCTTAAATCAGATTGAAATAATTAGATTTATTTGCAAAACTAATGTTTTGTAGAAAAAAAAACAATTTTTGAATTTATTTTTTCCTCTTTTTTAAAAATTTTGTGTTCAATTTTGGTCAAAAACGCAAAATGTTTGGTTGATTTTCAAAAAAGATTCTGGAATTCGTTCGTCATACCGCGGGACGATTGGTATATTTCCACTGTTCACGGGGTATATTGCGACAGGGGCTCGAGGTATGTTTCTTTCAAGCTGGAGGTATTTTTCGACCAAGCTCGAACAATTTTCGGTATGTTTTTAACGTGCTTGACCATTTTTTGATATAAAACATGTTCTCGGTGGTGGGCAACATAAATGACATATTATGGTTTATCCACAAGGAAAAGGACCGACGTAATAACTGAGAGCTTATTACGGCGACTCATTATTGGCACTTCTGTCAAAGTAGTTCATGCTTTTTTGGTCAAGTTTCGAATTGCCGCCTCGTTTTGTGAACAAGTTTTGTGAAATTTTATATGTCTTTCACCGTGGCTGCTTAAGTCTCATTTGTGGACAAAAATTTGTGATGTGAAGTGCAAGAAATTTTAAATTGCCTCCTAGATTGAGTTGCATGTTTTCTTGAATTACCCCTGTAAAATGTTCTGAAGATAAAATACAAGCTCAAATGACAACAATCATACTTCAAGTTGAATCGATTGATACACTGCCCGATTTTTCATTTTGTTGATCAATCCCTATATTCATCGGTGTTACTACCTTTTTAGTATAGCGTTGAGCATCCTCGAGGTATGCTTCGAGCATCCTCGAGGTATGTTTCAAGTTTCTGCTCGACACAAAGATCTGTCTCGACTACTTTTTTTTTCGTTCGAGTACATTCCAAAGCAAAGTGAGCAAGTCAACCAGTGTTTGCATGTCCGTTTTTGCACTGAACTTGATTAAGATTAAACTAGTTGATTTCAAGTAGCTAGTTTGCAAAACTCAAAGCAATCATGAAAAACGTATCACCTCATTTCCTACTTTCAAGCGATTTCATTGTTAATTTGAATAATAGATTTGAACAATCGGTTTTATATAGAATAAGGTTATCTTTTCAATTTTTTTGAGGTTTTTTAGGGTTCAATTTTTGAATTCATTTTTTCTTCTTTTTAAATAATTTTGTGTTCATTTTTG